GTAACTCACCTTGGTACCCTGGCCATAGCGTTACCTAGGATTTATAAGATGATAATGACATTGAAAGAGAAAGGAGGCCCGACGGTTGCTACGCTGTACAGCCGAGGTAAAACTTTTTTATTTAATGTCTCAATACCATCACCTCTAGACGTGCGCCTGATGAGTCAGTATGGGTGGTAAAATAACGCTTTTAGGTTGTTAATGGGGCTTCTACGTTACTGTAGTGCATCAATTATGGTTTTTGATGCCACGTGAATAATTTTTTCACTCTTATTCACACAAGAATTGCGTCACCGTTGCACAAGGTGCATGGGAGCGCCTACCGCATTCTTATCGTTATAAGTGAAAAACCCGAGTGTGCTTTCTTAAGGCATTGGGTGCATGTGCATGTGCTTGTCTAAATACCAATTGCCTCGGACAAGTAGCCCAGTTTTTTATTGTATCTATAATAAATTATAAACTAAAACTACATGGTCTGTAATAAAGGATAGCCGACGCGATGTCTTTTTTAAAGGTCGGGGGAAAAGTTTTTTTCGTATTTTATATACAAAATCAAGACTTTTTTTTTCAAAGTTTAATTACATTTAATTATAATATGTATTATGCGCTATTTTGTCCGATAACTTGGTGCCATCTTGCAGATAGTGCCATAAGCCCGTTGCTGCAGAAATCTTGCGATTTTTGATCAAAATAATGCGACAAGTAGTATTGACAATTAATCCTCTATTGACCTAACACTATCCAAAGAATTCTGTAGAGACTGAAATAGGTAAAAATCTGAAGGTGCAAGGTGGGGACTATATAGTAGATGCAACCAAGTTCTTTCCAGTTTCCAACCAAGCTCTCTCAATTTTTGCTGAGTGGCCAAAGATGTGTGTGTGGTCTCGCTATATCATGATGAAAGACCACTCCTTTTCTGTTAATCAATTCCGGCCATTTTTTCTCAACTTCTTGTTTGACTCTCATTAGTTGTTGGCAGTAGAGATCCAAATCAATGGTTTTGCTCAGCAGTGAAAGCTCGTAATAAATGATGCCCTCCCAATCGGCCAAAATAAACACGGCTTCACCTTATTGTGTGCTAATCCGAGTTTTCGCTACAATCTGTGGAGCTTGACTACCCTTTGATCATGATATTTTCGCACGATCTTGTCGTAGGTGATCCACTATTCATCACCGGTGATCAAACTTTTTAAACATGGTTCGGTTTCATTACATTTGAATAAAGAATCGCAAAAAAGTACATGATTCATTAGGTTTCTTTTAGTGAGATCATGTGGTACCCAAACATCGATTTTTGTATAGCCAGACTTTTTCAAATGGGTCAAAACTGTTTTTCGGTCAATCCTCAATTCCTCGGCTATGTCGTAACTATTAGTATGCCGATCTTGCTCCACTTTTTCTAAAATGGCATCGCCTTTATCCGTGTGAGGGCAACCAGAGCGGCTGCATCTTTGACATCATAATTCCCGGACTGAAAATGCTTGAACCAACTTTGTGCTACTCTTAATGAAACTGCATTAGATCCATAAAAGTCAGAAATTATTTTTGCGGCCTGATTTGCATTTTTCCCCTTTTTGTAATAAAACTTCAGAATGTATCGAGTTTCTTCGTTAGAATCACTCATTTTGGCGGACAGAAAACAATAGAAAAATGGCGGGAAAGTGTTTTTTTACTTTCTATTTTTATTTTTATTTCTCTTGAAGTCATATATGTATTTATATTAAAACAAGTCAATTACAAACAGTACAACTAAAGAGATTTTACTTCAATTTTATACAACGAAAATACAAAGAAATTTTTTCCCCGACCTATTACATCAATATTTAGTCGCTTAATTAGTATACCAAGAACTGTTAAATCACAAAATAAATAAATGCTACAACTTAGAATCTAGAACATATTTCTTAATTATAAATAGATAACCATAACTTATACAATAAAACCAACATTTATTAATAAAAGTATGAACTACTTACAAGCTAAACTTCTACAGATACAGGTATAAGAAATTTTGATGATGCAACATTGTTTGTAAAGATGACACATTGGGTGCGTTCGGCAGAAAAAAGCGCTAGCAAGCGCTTACTAGCGCTAAAATAGTTTTCGGCCAGGACACGATTGCTACTTCAGTAGCGCTGACACAATCCGCCATTTTGCTTATTTAATTTGTTTTGAAGTAGAGTTTATAAGACGTTTTTTGCAATATTAGTTTTAAGTAATATAATGACATGAATAGACATATACATGTTATTAAAAATTCATGATCGGTAAGTTTTTAATATGAATACTTCACAAACATATATTTAAATTAGGTTAGGTTCCCCGGTTAAAACTAATATCGTGTCCTAGAGGAAAATAGCTACTGACGATTTGACAGCGGTTAACGCTTACGATCGCCATTTTGCTTACAAGCGCTTGCTAGCGCTTTTTTCTGCCAAACGCACCTATTCATTTGGTTGGAGACGAAACACCAAAGCAAGATGTAGAAAATAGTGTCTTCCTCGCCAGCCCAGAGATTTGTATATCTGCGTCCGCTGTAAAAGTAATGGTCTCTGTCTTCTGGGATGCAGAAAGTATAATAATGTTCGACTATTTAACTAAAGAGAGACAATAACTGGAGATTATTACGCATCTTCATTTTTTTTTCTAAGAAACATTGCCAGGTTATGGTTTAAAATAAAAGAGCATATCTTTGTCTTGGATACTATTATCTATTGCATATTGTCTTTGGTTTTGTTTAAAACGAAAAAGTAGTTTTTTCATAGGGCAGTACTCGGCTCTGTAGGTATCGAATTCGATTACTTACAGAACCGACGTAAGGTAGGTTTGTAGGATCGAATTCGAGCACCATTCAATGTAACATCAAAAAACTGTGCGAATAACTAAAGAGGGGAAATGGTTTTTTGATAATGTCCCCCATGTCTGATGTGGTAGGTGCTCTCATCCAAACTGCTGGGTTTCATCAATACCAAATATACTATCTATCACTGAGTGATTTTCATCTTTTAACCCACCTGAAAAGGCATCTGTGTGGTATAAAATTCTACGGCGACGATGAGGTGATCTGTGCTGTAGAGGCCTTCTTCGAGTCCTAGGATCAATCCTTTTTCAAGGGCATTAACCAACTTGCAAACCGCTATTCAAAGTGCATTAGCATAAAAGGGAATTACGTTTCCAAAAAAGTATTGATCAACCTAGTATTAACGTCCTACAGAATGGCGTACTTAAACGGAGATTATCATGGAGCGAGGTATCCGCCGCGACGCTATAAAACAAAACCTTGAAAGAATCCCTGGACAGCGTACATAGTTTCTAATGCATAGTAACAATAACTCATTCGCTATTCGTTGTCGAGTATCGTAAATATAAAGAACTCTAAGATAAAGTTCTGGATCAAAAATAGGGTTGATAAGCTAAGAAAGCTTACGATAAATGTCGCATAAACCTTTTTGAATCTGTTCAATACGCAGATTATGAGTCGCCTTATTACACTCCCGTTATCTAAAATTTAACGCACTAGGCTGCTGTAGAGCATGATTTTTATTACGAAACCTACCACATTGATGCTCTCTTTGTAACATAAATACTGTGATTGACAAAAGTAAGCTTTTTCGTCACGTAATATTTTGTTCAACAAACCCCCAAATATTCGATATCATTTTATATACGTGCAGTTTATCCAAGTGATCTAACAGCTTACCGTTAAAGCCCATCAAAACCCAATTTCTGAGAATGGGCTTCTCCCATAGATTTCCTCATAGGGTGGATATTTGCCATAGTTACCGCGGTTTCCAGGAGGGTTTGAGTTTTTGAATTTTTTCCTTGTTATTAGGAAGATGCTGCTGCTCATCTCCTGGTTAGCTTCGCTTATTACGGCAACAACAAAAACAAAATATTTATGGTTTAGAAATTTGAAGTCAAAGAGGAATGTCATTAAGGAGGATGTTAAATAACATCAGTGCGATGTCTTATTTTTTCTTTATATTTTTTTTAAGTTTCACAATATAATCAAAACAAAAAAAAAGATAGCACAGTTGCGAAATGGTAGGAAGCAGCGAACGATTCATATCAGAACTATAAAATCGCATTGCGGGAACGAAAACTAACGACTTTATTTTGCATCGATGGCTTTGAATAGGGTTTGAATGCAGGACTCGTGTAGTTTATGTCCGGTATTTCGACTGTTAAAATAGGGTATTTTACCCATTTTCAAAAATTATTTTAAATGCATTTTAGAATGATAATGAACCACTATAATTTTTAGATAATTTAAAAAAAAACGAAAAAAAATATTCTAAAATGGATATTTAAAATTTATAATGCGATTTTATAAACAGAAATCAATATTTCTTGTTCACTTTTTACAAAATATTTCATAAATATATATATTTTTTGATTTTATTTTAAATGGTGTAAAATACCCTTTTATAATAGTTATAAAGGTTTTAATCACAATATATTATTTCAATATTTATTGTTATCAATCTTTGTACCAGCAGTAAGTCAACCTATACCTCCCTTCTGTAGAAGAGACCCATATCCAGCAATGGACGAGAGTCTGGTAATTAGTCATACAGATCTTTCCTAGTACTAACACCAGTTCCTCGCAATTTTTTCTCTTTTTAAAAAAAACGTTACCCCTATACTAGGATTTTCTCCTGTATCGTGGGGGTAGTTTACAAATATAAATAATACAAGGACAAACATCCAGACCCGGAACAATTATTTGTAGGCCATACAAATACTTGTTCCGTTCGGGATTCGAAACCGCGACCCCCAGCGTAGCCACTCATTGCTAAGCCACTGTGCCACGGAGCCGTCAAAATTATAATGGTTACACCTAAAGCAATATTGTATACGAGTGTAAGGTAAGGTAAACTTGTGATTGAGTGGTTATTAAAAAATTCAAACAATGCAAAATGAAATACGAAGTTCATCACCCAGGTGATAATTTTAGTATTGCTTATTCTCGACACACTTTGAGACTTATGGTCACTTACATGATAGTGAGCTGGTAACGTAGGATCGAAAGCGAGCCTTAGTCCACAAAAGAGCTTCGATCTTTTCGCCTGATAAAGCGGTTCTTCGGGATCTGTGAAGGTCTGCGCGGCGAACTTATCCAAGAACCAGTCCGGTGGCTTGGTGCGTCCTTCGCCGCTGATCCGATAGCGAAGGTTTCGAGTGAGTCGGGAAAATTGTCTCTGCACCCAATTCGTTCTTGAATCTACCTCATTCACCGCCTGTTAAAAAAAAACGAAACGTGAGATTAATGCAATGACAATGACATTGAAATCGCATCGCAAATTGCATAGCAATTGTGGCACCTACCGTGGTGTAAGAGTAACTACTATCACATATCATCCCGTGGGTGTCGTAAGAGGCGACAGAGGGAATCAAATCAGGAGATGGATAGTAGCGCTTCCTAATAACGACTAAAAACAAAAGAACTGCGGTTGGCCACCCGCTTCCCAAGCGTGGCGACTATGGTAAATATCCCCCTCTATGAGGCAATCTATGGAAGAGCCCTATTGTCAGTAGTGGACTTTAATAGTCTGTAACAGTATATTGTGTCACTTGTAAAATCAGGAGAGAACTTTGTTTGTACTAAAGTAAATTGTATTAAGCTTGTAACAATTTAAACTTTATAATTTAGTAGGTACCTGTGTATCTCGTTACGAAAGCCAAGTTTATTGTGGCCTTAAATGAAACCGGAGAAGACAATCTATTTCAAAAGTTAAATATTCTAAGCCCCAGTTGTAGTTATTAAGATTAATCACCTTTACTGTAAGAAACACCGCTGTCAAAGTGTACTGTCAATAACAGACCTGCTATAGGTAGTAATTTAATAGACTTCTTAAATAATATATATATGAAATATGTTATTAAACTTCAAAGCCAACTATTTAATAAACATTATGGATTCGTAAGTATATTGCGAGACAATTATATTAAAATCATCATGTTGCCTTCGATAAATAGTCCCAAGAAACAATCAAGCCGCTTTGATGGTGCTTTTAAAAAAGTAAGTAAGAATACGTATAATTTTTATATATTCAAAATATTTTTAAGCACAAATAGCTAGAGGTAATCTAGCTAGTGCTTAAAAATATTTACTAATAAGATTATTATTTGTAAATAAATGGAACTCCCATTCTTAAATTGGATAAAGTAAATAACTTTTGTAGAGTGAAAAAAGATATCATAATTTTTTTTTACAAAATAATGGTAACAAATGAGCTCACAGTCCACCTCCACCTATGATGGTTAACATAAGTCTTAAGCTGCTATTTTACGCTGGTATTCTGTGGGAGCGTGATCCTACCTCGATTAGGCCGACCCATTCGTGCTACAACTAATATAGCTGCAACGTGGCTCTACCACGTATAAATTAATTAATGTTAGTTGTAATAAAACAAGTAGATTCCGTTTCGTGAAGTTGAGGGAAACCACTAAATATTCTTTATTTCTTGCTTTGGCTACAAAACCCAAAACAAGGAATGAAAAAACCTCAGCTATATTACATACCAATATTAAGTCAAGAATTTTTCGAGACGTCACGAGTTTTTCTTTTAAAAAGTTGTACAGGATTAATATTCTTGTAAGGTAGAGTATTTATAAAAGAAACTACTACGAGCAAATTATCTTTACCATGCTAGGATAGTAAAAATGATTACTAAAAATGATACCTCTACCATTCTGTTTCAAAGTAATTAAATACCTTGTCAGAATACCTGGCTAGAAACCGTTTCCAGGCTTGAATCTCAACTGATACGTAAGGACTCTCTTTATATTATTATTCGTCACATTATTAGCACATTATTGCACTATACATTTAATCAACACGCTACGAGCATGATGGAATCGAAAGTTGTTTGTTTACGGTGCAGGTTATGCAAAATTCAGAAGGGCACGCGTAAACACAACAGAAATCAGAATATCAATCAGAAATTACCCGTATCACAGAATAAATAATAGTTGCCCGTATCCAATTTAACAACTGTTCGATAAGATTAGAGATGGCCTCAGATGAGACACGGAGACGATCAAAATACATTCAGGTGTGAAAATCGATATTTTGTGTCTGTTGTTCAAAATTCATAAATATACAAAAAAGGAGCAAAAGGGCCTTGCAAGTTTTTTAACTGGACATAGGCTTATGATTTTCGCTATTTATGTTAGATTATTTGAAAAATTTATATAATATGTACAAAAAAAGGAGACAATTGCTCAGTATGGTTTTATTAGTATTCTTTTAATCACTATAAGCTAATACTACTATCCCCTTTGATGGTATTTGATAAATATATATATATATATATGTGTATTTGATAATATATAGCCGAAAATAGTAAAACACACTGAATTTTACTAACAAAAGCCGCTACTAACTATTGCGTTAAAGGCTTTTACTGGCCAATTATTTAACTCCTATGCTGTATATGAAATACGAAGTAAGCCCTTTGGTTTGAATGCATGTTAACTTGAAAAAGAAAGATGAGACTGGACGAGCTCTGGTTTCCGACGGCGGCTGGCAGTGGGATAAATTAAGTTATGCAATTCCTGCGCACACTTTCCGAGATATATCCTTTGGAAAACCGAAAGACCATGCGCGTGTGATCGAGACTGGTAAGATTGGATTTAATAAGACTTGAGTCAAAAAAGCCTTTCCATTACGTTCAAAGCACCAGCAATTTGCTGCACCAGCCAATATGTGGCAGCAATATTCAATGCGCGACCAGACATCTTTACCAAGTGAGCAACATTTGTATGTGTATGTATATATTTACGAAATAATAATATTCCTTTTTATTCATTCCACTCACAACTTTATAAATATGATGTTAGTGGCGTTCGTACTCGAATAACAGGCTTTTACAGGCGTTGCTAAGGCCAGCGTCTATGTTCATTATCCGATCAGCTTCGTATCATAGCAACATTGCCGTCGAAATGCAGCTTAGATTAATCGGAAAAATTGGTTAAAAATTATAAACCGGAAAGACGACTACGATAAAAGAAAGCAATAGATGCTTGTAAAAATAAAAATGTAGCTGTATTTTTACTGTTGAAGATCCGCAAGGTCTCCAGAAAAAAGTCACCATTTCTTGTCACTTACCAACTACAGCAGCAAGATGCTGCTATTTTAGACTAGTATTCTATAAGACGGGTCATCCCCGGACGACACCATTTTTTTATAAATTGCCTATGTAGTAATGAAGCGATTTCCAATTTGAAAAAGGACGATTTAAAAAAAAAATTTTATAATTTCGTTTCAATCGTTGATTTATCAATCGCCATTTTCAATCGCCTAAAAGAGTGTTCGTCAATTACGTATGTACTTTTGATGTATAAATAATGATATCCTCGTGGATATAATATATTTTTGTTGATTGTTTTTTATATATTTGCGCATTATAAATTTAACAAAATCCATTGGCTAGTTTGTATTTTTTATAGGTCACTACATTATTAAGGTTATTCACCGCTATTTTTCGCTATTTCAGACAAAAGTTAATATATTTAATATGTTTTCATTTCATCATTATTTAATATAATAATTATCTATACCTATTTTAAGGTTCAATCCGGTTTCACGGTCACTTGTACTCGTATGTAAGAAACCAACGCACATGACACTTGTGACCGAACAACAAGTAGTTGACAAATAAATAGGTGGTTAGAGTGAGTGGAATTCAACTATCAAGGGACGACACAGACGGCTTTAGCTTGTACTTTAATCAATTTATCAAGTGATACGATCCTATAGAGGCCACAATGTAATCGTTTGACTGTTCGTTTCACGTATATATATATATATATATATATATATATATACAACAGACAAACAACGTGACACGTAAATTATATATATATTATTAAGAGATTTTTCCGGTTATTTTCCGGTTCGGAAAAATAACCGGAGGTCATACGCGGAACAAAACCCCTAGAGAAAAGTAAAGTGGTGGATCGCCAAACATCCAGATGGTGTGGATAGTATCGGGAGTTTTGCCACGTATTGCGTTCATGAAATTTGGCGCCTGGGATAAATACCTCAGAGCACTCTCCGTGGTAGATGCGAAAGAAAATGCAAAGGGATGCAACATCTCTTCGCAGCGCCAGTGAATCGAGCCGATTGAAGAGCACTCAATCGTCGTTGATTCGAGCCGCTCGGCGCTAGATGCGGTCAAGTGAAAGGAGCTGGCACTGGGGAGCTCCAGCCCAGAGATGGGAACAATATTCTATGTGAAGCTTTACAAGTCTAGTAAAGTTGTAGGCGGTGTGCCGGCATGAAATACTGTCCGGCTCTGCTGAGCACGCCAAACTTTTTAGAGGCCAATTTGGCTTTCTCTTCCAAGTAACCATGAAACTACACGTCACTCGATATGTCGACGCCGAGGATTCCGATTCTGACTAAGGTAAAAAGGGGAGTACCTTGAAACTGAGGAGATACGACACAGGGGTTCTTTTTAGCGGTAAACGCGCACACTTGTGTCTTCTGAGGATTAAACTGGACTAGATTCAGTTGCCCCCAAACCGAGAATTTGTTCAGCAAAGACACAAGTTTGTCCCCCCCCCCCCGCCTCGAGAACTAAGATGGAATGCCTCATTTTCAGTAGAAAAGGGTCACCAGCTCTCTACACTCATCATACGAAACATAGCAGTATTAAGCTGCTATTTTCCGCTGGTATTCGAGCCGACCCAATCATGCTACAACCATAATATTACAAAAACTTAAGTCAAAGACAGTACAGGTCATGACAACATAGGAAGAACCATGATATCATATGTTTTGGGATCATATTGCACCAATTTTAACCTCCATTATAAACCGCTCATTGCTTACTGGGAAGTTTCCGTTATGCTGGCAGAAGGCTTTTGTTCTCCTTCTTCCAAAAATCTCTATGCCAAGTGCTCTCAATCACTTCCGGCCTATCTCGATTTTACCGTTTTTATCAAAAGTCTTAGAAGCTGTAGCGCTCAAACAGATACAAACTCACTTAACCAAAAGCGACTTACTGAATCAACACCAATCAGGATTTCGGCCTGGACATAACACCACAACGGCGCTTTTAAAAATAACAGAGGATGTGCGTGATGGCATGGAGTTTGGAAAGTTGACGGTGTTAGTTTTAATAGATTTTTCTAACGACTTTAATACCGTTGACCATGATATTCTCATCGCCATCTTGTCTTACATAGGTTTTTCCTTGTCAGCACGGAATTGGATCTCCTACTATCTTCG